AAAAAAAAAGCTTCATACAAACTGGATGATTCCAACTATATGACATTCTGGAAAAGGCAGACCTAGAGACAGTAAAAAGTTCAGTGGTTGTCAGGGGCTACAGGGGAAGAAGGGAGGAAAAGTTGGAGCAAAGAGAGTTTTGAGGACAAACTATTCTTTATGGTATTATAATGTAGATACATGGCATTAGGTGACTGTCAAAGCCCATAGCATGTACAACACCAGGAGACCTAATGTCCCTAATGAATTGTAATGTACACTATGGATTTGGGTGATAGTGGCATGTCATATGGTTCAAAATAGCACTGTGGTGTGGGATGTTAACAGTGGAGGAGGCTCTGTAGGTATGAGGGAATAGGGTAAGTGGAAACTGTCATGTCTGCTCAATTTTTTCTGTAGCCTAAAACAAACAAAAAAAATCTAGTTATTAAAATTTTGCTGGAGGTATTATAAAACCATGGTTCTTTAAATGTACTGTGTTGTGAAGTGGTCCGTGTGTGTGTGTTTGTCCTAGTGAATCCCTAGAACTGTAGTAGCACCTTAAACAGGGTAAGCCTACATTAGCTTTGTGTATAACTATAGTACGTTTAAGTAAAATTCATGTGACATAATATAATTTACATTCTTTCCTTTTTGAAATTTCAGTAGATATTGCAATTAAAAGTTACATTTTGTTGTAAAATTCTGTTAATTCTGTTCAGGCTCTTTTTAACTGAGATAATCCTTTTAGCCCTTTTGTATTCACAACTTTACAGCTTACAATTAATATGAATACGATAGCTTTCCATGCTGAATTTGATTCATAGATTCATTAAATCACCCAGCTGAAGTTTGACATGGTTCTTATGCTAAAAATACAAAATAGGTATTTGAAATATGAGGTATAATTAGGTTACATTGCTTGCATTTGTTAGGTAAAGTCCAAGTTGTAGTTGTGCCCACCCCTGGTGGTGTGCCATATACCCTTATGTTTAGTTAGGTGATACCTTATCCACCCCCCTTTTCCTCTCCTCTTCCCCGCCTTTCTCCTCTACCCTCTCTTAGAGTTTTCTAAGTATAAGTTCAAATCATCAGGAAAGAGCAAGAGTTTGACCTCCTCTGCCACCATTTGAATACCCTTAATATCCTTTTCTTGCCTGATTGCATTGGCGAGAACATTTAGCACTTTGTTGAATAGTAGTAGTAATATAAGACATTTCTTGTCTGATTCTAATTCTAAGTAGAAATGCTTTCAGTTTTAATCCATTCAGTATGATATTCGCTGTTCATTTGTCATAAATGGCTTCTATCAGTTTAAGAAATGTCCCATTTATGCTTATTAAACATTCTGAGAATAAAAGTTCCTATATGCATTATAATATATGAATAATATATATATTTATTTGATCTTAAAATGGATTTTTTTGATTTTTTACATTTTAATTCATATTGGAATTGAATAATCAAATTCTAACAGTAACTATAAAAAAGAAAAAAAATTTCTGTATACTTTTGATTAGGTACATGATATTGAAAGGAATTAACACTTTTTACTGGTGGATTTGAGGGTGGGATAAAAATGTAATTTCAAAATAGAAAAGAACAAATTGAAGCCTTAGCAAAAATATATTAACTTGGCATAATTGATATAACCCATAAATGTAAGCACTTATCAGGTACTGAAAACTGATGGTCACACTGACAGTTGTAATATAGTTGTAATCACACGATCAGCTGTTATCTAAGTTCTGTAGGGACCAGAAGAAGCGCCATCACCTGCACAGGTGCAGCCATGTCAGTATCCATAAGTCTGCATCCTCCGAGGCCTCAGAAGGCTAGATGGAGTTCAACTACACTCAGAGTTCCTATAAGTCAAGAGTCAGCACAACCTCTGTGTCATTGCATCCATGGAAAGGAAAATGAAGCACAGAAGCCAACAAATAGCACCTTGTTCCCCAATTTATTCTCCATGTCTAGAGCAAGACCAGGGAGGAGATTTTGTATTGTTTTTGCAGAGCAGGAAGTGAATCCAGGAAAATTTTTCTTTATGCCAACTCTTCACCACTTTTCACTTGCATTTTAAAATAAGTATTCTCCCTAAAAAGAACAAATAAACAAAAGAATGAAAACTTCTTACCTTCCAAACCAATGCTAGTCTTGGACTGGGGGTGAGATGGGGAAGGGATGATTTTAAATACCTCTTCTTCATTAATTGTGCTTCTTTTCTTTCCTATTGATAATTTTTAAATGTATGGCATTTCCAAATAATAATTTTGAGTGCATTTCTTACCCATTGTAATATGAAATTTCTTCCATTTATTCACTAATATTTGCTCAAAGTTACCTCCAATTTAAGGAATTCAGTGGACATGTTTTATTATTTATCTTACTTTTACTGTGAAACATTTGACATTTAATCATACTCTCTTGAGAAGTTATTTTCCCTTTGGTTTCACTTTCAGTACTTTCTCAGGATTTAACTGTTAGCTTTTAGATACGTTTTTTTCTTTGTGATTTTTCTTTCTCCACCTGTAGTTTAAGCAGTGATACAGCCTGGGGGTTAATTGTTATATTTAATTCCTCATCCTAAAATCATCTCTAGACAAATTTACTAAATCCATAAAAAACTTAACTTTAACTATTAAATGGCCATGAAAAACTCTGAAGATGAGAAGCAAAATTAGAGGATAAAGGAGAGATATTGCCTATATGTGAAAATCATTTTGCCCTTTCTAGTTTGGTAAACTTGAGCAAGTTATTTAATATCTCTATGCCTTAGTTTCTCATCTGTAAAATGGTGGTAATTGTACTGCCTTTCTTTTTGGGTTACTTGGATTATGGGATTTAATATACATATAAAGTGATTTAATATGTTTAAATTTCCTGGCACATAGGAAGCCTGAATTACATGCAATCTATTATAAATAATAGGCATACCTATTTATTACTAAAGAATTTGATCAAGATTTTCATTAAACTAACAAATTTTGCATATAGTAAATCATTTTATAACTATTTATTGTACATTTACATAGAATGTGAATGATTTAACTGCACTACTTTTGTTGTTATTGTTTTTGAATTGCCAGCAACCTCCCCACTGCCTAGATTTGAGAAGAAGTTCACAACAATTTGGGGAATGAAAGCATTAATCGGAGTATTTTAATGAACACTGTTGATTTGATTAGATCAGAATTAGAGTGTGACAATCTAAACTCTTTCTCCTCCCCCAATTTTAAATATTAGTTACAATGTTTTCAGCATTTAAATCCTATTTCCCATCTGCCTCTCACTATCCTCTGATCTCCTCATTGTTTGTGGCCCAGTATGCCCTCCCACCACCACCCTATTTCCCCTCCTCTTGTCTACCACAGAAATGGAGATACAGATCCAGGGTAGCATATAGAAACCCAGGATGGGGCTGTTAAATGGCCCACGTTCCTTTCTTCATTCATTCTTGATGCTCACATGTGCACACACATGAGCACATATTTGAAGGTTCCTTTTGTTTCGCTTTCCCAAGACAGCAAAATTGCTAGCAATGGCTCCAGATCTGATTACTTCTTTTTTGGGGGAGTGAGTGCCTTGCTATTATGAAAAATACACTTATTATTCTTTTGGAAGAGCAGAATAATGCAAAATTGACTTAATCTACAGCACAAGTTTATGTTTTACTATAAAAAAAGGACTTGTTGACAGGATTGCTGGAAACTGAAATTGCTGAACAACAGTAGTTATTTCACTGCCTTTGAAAAATAAAGATAGTCTATCGTCTCTCTAGAAGAGATTGTTTTTCATTTTGTCTTGAAAAAGAATGAGACTTCAAATAATGTCTTTCAACCTCATGCTTCCCAGGCATACATTTAAACATCTTTAGAAATCTTCCTTTAAAGTTGTAGATATTGCCAAAACTTAATTTTCAAAATTGGCCATAATTATAAAGTAGGGTTTTTTAAAAAGTCACGAAAATGTTCAACTAATAAAATGTTTACTGTTTAATTTGAAAATTACATTGCACCCTGCATTCATGTGTAATATATTTTATATCATGTTTGCATTCATTAGTATATTTCATTTCAATGCACTTTTTATAAATATATCATCATCGAACCATTGTAAAGAAAATTCTTTATAAAATAATTTGTGAAGATATTAGAAGAACTGTAAATATTTTTCAGAGACATTAAGCCATATAATTATTTTCATTAACTATGATGTTCCCAGTATCGTGATGATCATTATATTAGAGATACTGAAATTCTGTAAAGTTGTTTTACTTCACTAAGCTTATAAGTTAGCTGTGGAGGTGAAATTTGCAAATTTAAAATTTTAAGATACCAAATTTTATATACCATGTTATACATAGAGTTCTTTAAAAGGAGAGATAATGAATATCAGAGCAATAGGAAAATACCTTTGGAAGAAAACTAATACGAGTTTAGTGTCATTAGGAATAGTCAAAATTAACAAGAAGTCTGTAATGTGTGTGTATTATATATGCACACACATATATATGAATTTCATCAAAGCAAATGCAAATGTCTACAAAAAAATATCCTACAATCTTTTGGAGCCAGATATACATGCATTTAAATGCAAAATTCAGCACAATTGAACCTTTTGCTTTGAACAGTTCATTTCACCTCCCTGAACCTCATTTCCTATATCTGTAAAACTATCAATACACCAATGCATGGTCAGGATTAAAACTAAAACAATAAATTTAAACACAGGAGCAAATCGGAACTATCATTCTTTCTTCATCCATCCTTCCCTCATAATATCACTGAAATCAGATAGCAAATATGTTGTTATTAGGTTTGATAGAAATAATTTCTATCTTACAATAGAAATAGTTTATTCCTCTTCGTTCTACAAGCCATAAATCAAACAAAACTATAAATGAAAAAATAATGTACATAATATGTTACCCATAAAATATTAGCTTCTAAACTTTCATAAAATATATTCTTTCTTTTAAATAATATTACTTCAAAAATGACTTTGTTTTCTTATTACAGGAGATAACTGCAAGACCACTGAATACAGCAAGATGAAAAAAATGCTTTTAGACTTACAAAACCAAAAGTATATTATGCAAGAAAATGAAAATCCTAACGGTGATGACCTATCTCGGAAGAAGCTGTTGGTGGATCAGATGTTTAAATATTTTGATGCGGACAGTAACGGACTTATAGATATTAATGAACTAACTCAGGTATGATTATTTACTAAATTAACACAACTACTGTAATGTGGCATGCATAGTATGTTTGCATTTGTGTGAATTTACTCTATTGTAGTACAATATACATTTAATCCATATTAATAAATGTGGGAGCAGTATTTTTAAAGAGCAAATTTGATTACATTATGGTGTATTATGGTATAAAAAAAAGATATCTACTTTTGATAGATTTCTGTACCTTAAATGCCTAAAGGTACTACAAGTTAACTGTGTTATAGAATTTAAGATCTTTCTTGATATACTCTGGAATCTATGTAATGTTTAATTTTCTATCAGTCAATCAAAGGTGACTTATCCAGTATATGAAGAAAGTACTAAACAACAGTTAAGCACGTCTCTAACAAAATGTAAAAAAATAATTTAAGATAGTGTTGACTCAGTGGCCTATTTCAGTAATTTTTTACTAATTAAGGATCAATTTTAACATATACAATTTAGTTTTAACGCTATTATGAAATTTAACTTATTTTAAAGTTGTTATATATTATATTGTAAAAATTTTTATTAAAGAGAAGACTTAAAAAAAAAAAAAAAGGCTTTCCCGGCAGCACCTGCGGCTCAAGGAGAAGGGCGCCGTCCTCATATACCAGAGATGGTGGGTTCAAACCTAGCCCTGGCCAAAAACTTAAAAAAAAAAAAAGGTCTTTCTTTGGAACCTATTTTGGCAAAATACAGATTTTTGGTATGTGTACCACTGAGACATACAGGTTACTTTGAAGGAGACCATAATAAGCTTATTTAAGAATTTAAAGTAGCGGCCGGTTGTGGAAGTATAAAATAAAAGACAAGCTTTCATCAAAAACATACACTGATTTTAGGAAGTAATGAAGAGAGAAGCAGCCAAACTAGGGTGATAGAAAAATGGTAATGGCAATGATGGATTTTGCCGATTTTTGATGATCTTTGTAACATAATCTTGATTCAGCTTTTACACCTGCCCTTAGCAGTGAATACAGGTTTGGAAAAAAAATATTAGATAGGTTATCTCCATACTATCATGCTATTTGTTCTTCTATGGTTAATCTTACAGCTTTTTTCAAAAAATCGACATGGTCAAATACTAGTCTTATTAAGGAAAAGTTTCTAAGTCCTGAACCTTGTTGGCAAATTTGGTTATAGTTACCATCATCTAAATTAATTAAAATTAATATCATTTTCATTATCTTCTTTAATTTCAGCCTGCATTTATTGTTTTGTAGGTACTAAATTTCAGACATTAGAGTTTATTGAACTCTGGAATTAGAGTAAAATTAGAAGTTTATCGTAGGCTTGGCACCTGTGGCTTAGTGAGGAGGGCACGGGCCACATACACTGAAGGAGGCAGGTATAAGCCAGGCTGGGGCCAGCTAAACAACAATGACAAATGCAACAACAACAACAACAACAAAAATAGCCAGGCACTGTGGCAGGCACCTGTAGTCCCAGCTATTTGGGAGGCTCAGGCAAGAGAATTGCTTGAGCCCAGGAGTTTAAGGTTGCTGTGAGCTGTTACTTAACAGCACTCTACTGAGTGTGACAAAGTAAGACCCTGTCTTAAAAAATAAAAAAAGAAGTTTATCGTAATTAAGATATTTATGTTGTCATATACTTCACTATTAGCAAGAGTAAAACTCTTGAAACTTATTTTATAGTTATAATAAATGACTAATCAATTAAATTAAAATATATTTATAATAAAGAAATGTCATCTTGATTTCTATGTGCCTGACATATTGAAATATTTTGGATTTGTTATTCTACTTTTTATTTTTAAACTTTTTTTTCAGTTTTTATTAACATATCTGCACCACTGTAGTCATTGATTGGTTGGACCCCAAATATGATGAGATCAAATCTAGTTATTATCATAGAATTACATCTACATTAAAAGGGAAGACTGCTCATCCCTGGGAAATGGCAGAGGGCAGCGCTGTACTCACACGGGTTTCCAGTTTCTGATTTGTTCAAGTTTGTATTAGTTTCCTGTTGCTGCCATAACAAAATACTACAAATTGTGTGCCTAAAACAATAGAAATGTATCATCTCTTTTGTGGTAGCTAGAAGTCAGACTCCAGGTGTTAACAAGGCCAGGCATCCTTGAAGGCCCTTGCTTCCTCTAACTTGAAGTAGCCCCAGGCACCCTCTGGCATTCTTCACATCTTACAGGAGTCGCCCCAATCTTTACTTCCATAGTCATGGGATGTTTCTCCTGTGTGTTTTTCATCACAGGGTCTTGCTTCTTCTTATAAGGACACCAATCATATAGAATTAAGGATGTACCCTATTCTTGTATAATCTTATTGTAATTTATGTTTTTATCTGCAATGATTCATCTTCTGAGGTACCAGAGGCTAAGACTTAACAAATCTTTTGGGTGACACAATTCAACCCATAATAAAGTTTATCTGAGACAAAGTTTGGTATTGTTTTCTCAACTTCTTTCAATTTATATGTTATGTCTAATGAGCATTTGAGCATTCTTTCAAATCTATGAAAGTTCTGATGTGAGAGCAGAAGACATCTTCAGAATCTCAGTTATATAGTACCCAACCAAGTGCCACACAAAGTTAATAATCTAAAAAGGTTGTTTACAAACTTTGTCCTGCATATATCCCATTCACCTACAGAAGGAAATCATGGTTACTTCCAAGTTTCAGCTACTATGAATAACGATGTTATAAACATACATAGGCAGGTTTTATGTGGGCAAAAGTTTTTAATGATTTGGGATAAAAACCAAGGAGTACGATTTCTTATTGTATGATAATAGAGGAAATTTAGTTTGGTAAGAAACTTCCAACCTGTCCTGTGAAGTGGATGTGTCATTTTGCATTCCTAGCAGTAGCAAATGAAAGGGTTCCTGTTGCTCCACCTCCTCCCCAGCATTTGATGGTGTCAGTGTTCTAGGTCCTGGCCATTATCTCCAGTGTGTAATGGTATCTCGTTATTGTTTCAATGTGCCTTTCCCTGATGAAATACTATGTGAAGCAATTTTTCATATAATTATTTGCCATCTGTATGTTTTCTTTGGTGAAGTCTCTGCCCAGATAGTTTGCAGATTTATTATTATTTATCTTTTTCATATTAATATGAGGGTACCAATGACTAGGTTATGTTGTTTGCATTTCTCAGGTAAAGTTCAAGTTGTAGTTGAGCCCTTCATCCACAGTTGGGTATTGTGTACGTTAGGTGAGAGCTCACCAATCCATCCCCTCCACCCCTTTCCCTTTTTCCTTCTCCCCTTTGTCTCCCACTTGAATACACTTGTGCTTTTCTCTCATGTGAGCATGTACTTGTTTTCTAGTGGTTTTATATTAGCATTGAGTACGTTGGATACTTGCTTTCCATTCTTGTAATACTTTACTAAGGACAATGTCCTTCAGCTCCATCCAGGTGAACACAAAAGATGTGAAGTCTTCATCTTTTTTTTTATGCCTGAACACTATTCCATGGTATACACATACCACAGTTTATTAATCCATTCATGTATTGATAGGTACTTGGGCTTGTTACCATGTCTAGGCAATTGTGAATTGAGCTGCAATAAACATTCTAGTGCAAATGTCCTTGTGGTAAAATAATTATTTTTTTCTTCTGAGTAGATACTTAGTAATGGTATTGTAGGATCAAATGGAAGGTCTACTTCTAGTTCTTTAAGGATTCTCCATACTTCTTTCCAAAAAGGCTGTATTTGTTTGCAATTCTACCAATAGTGTAAAAGTGTTCCCCTCTCTCCACATCCACACCATCACCTGCAGCGTTGGCGTTTTGTTATCTGGGCTATTCTCACTGGGCTTAGGTGATATCTCAGTGTGGTTTTGATTTACGTTTCTCTGATGATTAGGGACAATGTGCATTTTTTTTTTTTTTAATGTTTTTGTTGGCCTTTCTTCTCGTCTTTTTCAGAGAAGTTTCTGTTCATGGCTCTTGCTCATGTGTAAATGGGATTGTGCTCTTTTTCCCCATTTTAAAAATCATTTCATTATTTCTTACTATTGAGTTTTAAGAATTCTTTGTATATTTTGTATACAGTCCTTTGTAAGATGTGTCGTTCACAAATATTTTCTCCCAGTCTGTGGCTTTTCCTTTCATCCTCTTGATATTTTGTGGTTCAGAAGTTTTGTTGTTGTTGTTGTTTGTTTCCATGAATTTGACTTTATCAGTTATTTATTTCATTTAGATCATACACTTGGTGGTCTAAAATCATCCCCATTTCCACTATTATCTAGGGCTTTTGCTACATTACATTATAGAAATTTTATAGCTTTTCATTTCACATTTAGATCTATGAACCATTTTAAGTTCATTTTGGGGAAGTTATTTTTGTGGAAGTCCTTGTATCAATTCATTTGTTATACACATATATCCATTTTGAAGTCTTATTTGTTGAAAGAACTACAGTTGCCCTTTTGTATTGCCTTTGTCCCTTCAAAACATCAGTTGACTCTATGTATGTGGGTCTCTTTCTAGGCTCTGTTCTGTTTCACAGATCAATTCTTCTATTCTTTCAGCAATAGCACAGGGTCTTGATTACTATAGACTTAGAGTAAGTCTTGAAGACAGGTGTTGTTAGTTCCCCAACATTGTTTTTCTTCAATATTGTGTTGGCTAGTATGGGAATTCTGCCCGTTCATGTAAACTTATAATCAATTTACTGATATCCACAAAATAACTTGGGATTTTGATTGTGATTGCATTGAATCTATATCAAGTTTGAAAGACATATTGACAATATTGAGCATACCTATACATGAACATGGAGTATTTTCTAATTATTTAGTTGTTCTTTAATTGCATTTATTAGAGTTTTGTACTTTTCCATATATATATTTATATATATATATTTGATTAGATTTACATCTATCATATATTCATTGCAGAAGATAGATTTACATCTATCATATATTCATTGCAGAAGATACTAATGTAAATAGTATTATAATTTTAATTTTAAATTAAATCTGCTCATTTCTGGAGAATAGGAAAACTAC